GTATCATGGAGTGCATTAACTGGCATTAAATCATCTAAAATTCTGTATATACCAAGCGTGTTTTAATTTATTTTTACATTTTTTAAAATTCATGTACAATGTACTATACTATCTCGAAAAGCCAATGCTATTTTGAAAAGAAGTCCATGGGCGTCTTTCGAGATGGGTTTCTTTTTAAGGCTAATCTTGCAAACTAAAGAGGGGGCTTCAATTCGAGGTGGGCTTCTTCTCGAGATTAAGCTCATTGGGCTTCAATTCGAGGTTTTACGGTACATGTAGCTTTATTCCCAAACAAGGTCCAGACTTTTTCGATGGGTTCATATAATTATTTATTTCCCATCAGTCGCCCTCTTCCCATTTCAATTAAATACGCCACTAGATGTAACTAACTACTCAGTTTTCCTGTATGCCTAAAATTATTAGATTAAGTAACGCATTTTTACTCATGTGAATGTCGTCTCCACTTCTTTAGCAAATTCTTTGGCAACAATAACTGAAAATCCAGGAAAATAGTTTTTTTCGGCTGGCCGGAGTTGGGTGGGCCTTAGGTTGAATACCGGGGCACTAAGCGATCGCCCAAAATGCGATTTTTTTTATTACGCGCATGGGCAGTTCATTAATTAACTACGAAGTTCTTTACTTCGCATGCCCATGACTTTGAGCAAAAATTCATGATTCGCACTATTGGGCGGACTGCATATGATTCTTCGTACAAGTGGATTGAGACATTAAGACGGACTCTGGTAGGTCCTAATCTACACAGGAGAAAAATGTTCAATAAACGCTAGAAACGTTATCACGCTCTTAACATTACTCTTAAACTTTGACAAACAACTTGGTTAATGAGATAAAAAAACGCTTAATGAAATATAGATTTTTTAATATATTTAAAAACTTTGGGAAAATGTGGAAAAGGGGTAGATCGTTGGAATTATCAAATTTCATTGACGTTTGCCTCAAACTCTGTCCGACAAAAAAAAAAAAAAAAAAAAATCTTAAACATCATTCTTCCGTACAATACAGAACAGAGAATGTATAGGAGAAATATATAGTTGAAGCACAAGCCTAATGTGAATTAGGGGACTTAATAGGTGTTAAATGTTATAATGATTTTTTAAAATTCATCGGATGATGCCGACATTATTATTTCTTTAATTACTTTCCTCATTCTGTGTTATCTTTTCAATAATACCAATAACACATGCAACAGTAATAATTAAGAAAAGAGTACAAAACTTTTTCTTCTTTTTTGACTGAACTTTTTTTTAACTTTATTTAATTTTTTTTTTATACATAATATAATTAAAATGAAACAAGATGTAACAAGAAATTAAGTTACATATGAACAAATTATTACCGTATCTTAATTAAACTATATTACGCTTGTTTTTTCAAATCAAGATACTTAATTAGGAACTCACAAAAATGCTAGGAACACTGGAGCGGATGTGGGGATTCGTCCCCACACCAACCAGGGGCCCTTCGCTGGCCTGATCCTCAGTGCCTGGCTCAGGGCCTTAGGACCCTTCGTACGCCACTGATCCTTTGTAGTTCCGCATTTACAATTTTCGCGCACCACCCCCCCCCCCCAAAGATGGGAACCACACGACGCCCCTGATACACGTCGCTCGTGTACACTCGGAAGAGTAGCTACTTGTTACGGCGCCAATATACGAATATTATTCTCCGGCCTTTAACCTACTTGTGGCTTGTCGTAGTTGTAGTTCTCTTACTTCATGAGTAACCAATGAAGAGGCATTATTAATGCGCAGTCACCCGGGTCAACAAACAAGTTTGCATTACGTTTAGAGTTTTAGTGTAGTTGTTGAAGCCTACTTAGCACCAAGTCTTCTCGGTTAAGAGAATCATGGATTCTCTAACTATTACCGCTCTAACGTTTTCTTGTATCATGCCGTTAGTTTACTCTCAATCTCCATATGTAACTACAACACTGGGAGAAGTTGCAGGAAATACGATTCTTTTTTCAGAAGATTCGTACATAGGTGTCAATAAATATATCGATGTCTACAAGGGTATTCCGTACGCCCAACCCCCAGTCGGCAATCTTCGCTTTGAGAAGCCGCTCCCGAAAGAACCTTGGATAGGAACCCTGAACGCGATGGAATATAGTCCTTGGTGCACCCAGTCCGGTACAACTCCGTACACTGTTGTGGGGGAAGATGATTGCCTGTATTTAAACATCTTTGTACCCCAATCTAAGGTAAGAAATACGTTATTAAGGCATAATATAACGTTCAGTCAATAACATGATATTAATTTTCTAGACCATGTTCATCATACGTCTGAAATTAAATTGATTCTTGAAATTTTATACTAAAATATTTTTATAAGTTATAATTGGAAGTTACATAATCAACAATTGATTTATTCCATAATTTTATATATTTAATTTTTAATACAGAATGAACATAATTACTGACAGATACATGACCTAAAAAAGTATGCTGAAACAATTGAATTGGTGTATACATTGCTTTAAAAAAAAAATATTACAGTAAATGCTCGAATGGGCGCCGCTCTTGAATAAGCATCGCTCTCGAATAAGCGCCGCACCATACCTGCTTTTTTTTCGCTAAGCGCCGCTCTCGAATAAGCGCCGCTCTTGAATAAGCGCCGCACTGAAGCCTCCATAAATTTTACAAGCGCCGCGGCGCTTATTCGAGCATTTACGGTATGTTTTTGTCAGTTATATACAACACAAAGTTTTATAACTTTTTTAAACCATATTTATAATAAATTAAAGTTCTTAACTTGTTCTGAAGTCAGCAGAACAAGTGGTTGTCATTGATTGCCTGATTATTTGACAATCTTCAATCTACAAAACAAAGAAGGAACCCTTCCAGCGTATCCTAAGGCTAGCTGATATTCTAGGGGCCCTCAGAAATAAATGAAATAATGTCATCGTGAGAAAACAAACTCATGTGCTTTCACAGGATTTGAACCCAGGACCCTGGCGTTGGAATGCAAGCACCCTAACCACCAAAATACATCTTTACTAAATTGTTTAATACTTTTGTACTTCATTGTCTTGTCATAATTTTTTGTACGAGGGTGTGTCGACTGTTTTTTTTTATGTGGATGTGTTGAGTTTATAATATATATATATATATATATATATATATATATATTGATTTATTCCATAATTTTATATATTTAATTTCTAATATATATGTATCATTATCATATATATATATGTATCATTTATTATTCTTTAGCCAAATAATGCATCTGTCATGTTATTCATCCACGGAGGTGGCTTCTCGACAGGCTCGGCCTCAGTAGAAGATTACTCTGGGGTGGTACTAGCTGCCACCGGTGACATCATCGTGGTAACCATTAATTACAGGTTGAACAGTTATGGATTTCTTACAACAGGCAAGTACCAACATTATTGTTTGAATTTTATTTGTTTAAAAAGAAATCAGCGGCCTATACACTCTGCTACATCATGCTTACACACCGAGGCTTACATGTTATTCACTGATGCTTGATATGCCATATGGGGTTTAAAATGGGGCTTAAAAGAAGTATTCATCCATGAGACAACAAAAGACCCTGTGAATGAATTGATGAAGTGAAATGAAACCCAATACTTAGTGCATTCTATAAAATATTGGTAGTGACGTAATAAGTGCTTAAAGACTTACAGTTAAAATATAATATTTTAATGGATTTTAAAAAATAATGTTTGTTTTCGTCGTATTTAACAACGTTTTGATGGCTGTGTCTTCTTCGTACAGGAGATGATGACTATCCCGGTAATGTAGGACTATTCGATCAACTTGAAGCTTTAAAGTGGGTGAACAAGAACATTGGAGGTAAAAATAGTATGCATATCAATTTACAACAAAACCATGACAAGGCAAAATGTTATTCAAATTACTGTTTACAATACACAAAGAAATAATTCACGAAATAAAACCTCATGGAGATTATATTACCGGTATTTTATTTTACTTTAATTTCAACCTAACCTTTGAACACTCAATCGATGGAATGATGGACTACAATTTTTGTTAATGTTGTCTCAAAATTCATCCCAAGGATCCGGGGTTTAGAATGCAAGCATCTTGCTTATGAATAGATCTAACTTAGCTTCAATCTTTAACTTCTTTTATGTATAGTTTTTACATTGTCTTGTTGTGTAAGGTTTTTGATGTTTATATATTCATTGTCATTATTTGTTAATTTATTTATTTTAAACAAATATTTAAAGAACTTAATTAAGAATTGCCACTTTAGTTAGATCTGGGGTAACTAGCTTTCTTAATACATTGTTGCACGAGGTCACACCTATGGCCAGTTCATTTCAGGGAGTAAAAACACGTAAAAGTATTTGGGAAATGGGTTCTTCCGGTACATTTTTGCTTGCTTGCACGCGTGAGAGGCAGACGACAACGATCTAAATCTCTGGAGACCACTGTGGATCGTAAACGATTCGGGACCCTTGATCTTGAAATGGGAATGCAAGGTTTTGATGTGTTCTTGTGGAAGCGGTTTGGCGCAGCGTGAAAGGTTTGGTTTCCCAACCTCGAGGTCGGGGTTTCAATCCCTCGCTGTGCATTTCGCTTGTGTCCTTGAGCAAGGCACTGTATCTGCATCGCTTCTCTCCACCCAGGAGTATAAATGGGACCTGGTGGGGTTGCTTGCTCCTGCGCTGAACACAGCAACAACACTTAGCATGTGGATCCAATGACCAGGGACAGAAGCGCTTCGTAACTACAAAGAAAGGCGCTATTTAAATAAATATGATTAGATTAGATTAGATTAGATTAGATTCTAATACAAAGAAAATATTTCTAAAATGATGTTCGTACATGTTTACATTACACAGCGTTTGGAGGCGATCCATCTCGTGTGACGATCTTCGGTGAAAGTGCTGGATCGGCCAGTGTAGATTATCATCTCCTCTCAAAGCAAAGTTGGGATTATTTCAGCCAAGCAATTTTAGAGGTATGATTCATGTAATTATGTTTGATGACATGTTTTACAAAAAAATCTATAGACCACTACTAGGCCCACTACAACAACAACTACTACTACTACTACTACTACTACTACCACCACCACCACCACCTAATCGATTAACGCCCAGACGCGTGCACAAATCTGAAAGAAATAATCGTAGCATCATTCCTATAGGTGTCTTACCATTAACAGCATTTTTGAATTCTTATGTCAATTAAAATATCGTAAAAAAGAAACATTTTACACTAACACGAATCTACAAAATTGTATATCAACACAAGTAAAGCAGATAGGCTAAATTATTATCATAGGTCATCAATTTTTCAGTCAACAACGTTTGTCAATGTTCTTTGCTAACTACAAAAAAAAATACTTGTACTTCAAATTGCAGAGCGGTACTAGCCTAAGTTATTTCGCTTATATGGAACGAGAAGTAGCCAAGAACCTGTCGATTAACATTGGTAGGAAAGTTGGTTGTGACTTTACGGATAGTAAAGCATTTGTAGAATGCATGAAAGGTGTCGATCCTGGTGCTGTTGTAAATGCGTCTGTGGGGGTAAGATCAAATATTACTTGCGTATGTATGTCTTCATTAAAAAGCCAAAATGCACAATCTACGTATGTTAGTTTAAATGTGATTATGCTTCCATGATCTGTTTCCTTTTTTTGTTCTTCTCTTTCATTGCGATTGAGCAAAACAAAATTTCAATGTTTTTGATAAAGCATTAATAAAGTTGGTGTAAATTTAAGTATGGTTATACGGTACTCTATATTGTTTATTAATTAAATCAACGTTTCGTATGTTCCAAATATATTAATATACCTTTATGTATGTGTATCTGATTTATCAATGGATGTATGTAGGCCTATGAATATACGTATTTAATTTATTTGTAAATATTTAGCCATGATAACATACCAGTTGAAGGAGATAGGTTATTCACAATTCTCATGGTTAAATAAAGTAGTGTATAAGCCTATAAGCCTTGTAATACACCTTTTAACAATACTGTATATTTAAGTCTATTATAAAAAAAATACCTGTTTGCTTCTCACAAAATACTTAATCTGATTCATTTGAAAATAAATACTTACGCTAAAAGCGAATCAGTTATCTTGAACTTTTAATTTTAAAACCATATATATTCGTTCTTGATTCTAATAACAGATTAACCTGAGACCAGTAGTAGATGGCGTATTTCTTGAAAGAAGTCCAGAGATTTTAATACGAAATAGAGACTTTAAGATGGATGCAACCATCATCTTTGGAACAAATAAAGACGAAGGAACATTTGTCTACCTTCTGCTACCAGGCTACTTAGGCTACCTTACAAATACTCCGAAAGTTTCCAAATCCGAGTTCCTTACTCTTATTCCAGCGGCTTTTGTTCCAATTGAGGAAGCATCAAATCCTCTTATTTTGGACTCTATATATTTCGAATACACCGACTGGTCTCAAGCAGACGATCCAGATGCAAACTATTTTGATTCAGGTGTTCAATTGGCCACAGATTTTCAGTTTCTTTGCCCAACAGATGCAGTACAGCGTGCCCATGCGTCTGTTGGAAACAAGGTGTATGTTTATCTGATGACCCATACTCCAAAGGTTTCGGTATATTATGGTCTCGATTTTCCTTGGATTGGTGCTAGTCATGCCGAAGAACTTCAATTTGTGTTTGGATTGCCTTTTCTTAATGGTACAACATATACCTATTTATTAGAACAGCCGTCTGATAATGACCGCAATGTATCGGTGGAAATTATGAGATACTGGACCAACTTTGCAAAAACAGGGTAAGTTTTACTCACATTTAGACGTTTAGCTTAAACAACTGTAAACTTATTCAACTACAAGACTAAACTATCCTTTTTATGCCGTTAGTGATCCAAATACTAGAGGGAGTGAGACACCAGCCCCTTCCTTCAAGAAGGATCTTACCCACTGGCCAGAGTTTACTATTCCTGATCTTAACTACCTCAATATTAATCTGATGTCATCATCTGAACGAGCTTATAGAGCCGACAAGTGTGCCTTCTGGAACACGTACGAACCAAAACTCGAGCAATTTGCAGGTAAGCTATCAACAATACTTTAGGTCATATGCTGGACGTTGGAGTGTTTTGTTAATTGTGATCAGTTCAGCTTTTACTTAAGTTGGTTATCTTAAATTTAAATATCTATCTCCACAAATTTGCTCCTGTTGCCTTTGCTACTTTTAAGCAAGCAAACAACTAGAACTGGGGTTAAGAACTATTAAGAAAAACACTTCTGTTCTAAGCTCTCTTTTTAATTTATTCTGTTTTCTCTTTTATTAAAGCCAATTGACATCTTACTTAATCTCCACCCACCTGTCCCACCTTCTGCTATGGTGTCCCTGTTGCTTAGTGAAATTGATATTTAGTTTGTTTGAAATTGTTGATAGTTTCGGTATTGTGTTTTTCTGTTTTCTTGTTGTAGGCCCTATGATTTGTACTATTTACAGGGGGTTTTATAGGCAGATTTTCTGTACAGTATACGTCATAATTTAAACATGGTAGAATAAATGAAAATTAGTAAATTAGAAAGTTGTTCAAAGTTATACCGAAAAATACTGTCAGTACCGTAAATGCTCGAATAAGCGCTGCAACAAACCAAATTTTTTTTTAGCTAAGCGCCGCAGCGCTTAATCGAGAGTTTACTCTGTGTGTAATGAAACACTTTGAGAAACAGTAAATACAATGTATACAGTGTTAAAATAAATAAATAACACAATGAACACACAAAGCATTTTGTTATAAACAGTTATTTACGATGATGGGACCTATGATAGGCCTATTGAACTACGTGAATACGTGAGATAAGAAACATGGGAACGGGCATCGAAAGCGCCACGCCAATAGTTTGTTTTATAAGCGCTGCTTTTGAATGAGTGCAGCTCTCGAATAAGCCGCACTGAAGCCTCCAAAATTGTTGTAAGCGCCGGGGCGCATATTAGCACTTACGGTAAGTAAGTAAAACATCCCAATATTCTGGTTTCCCGAATGATTTTATACAAGCTGTCGAACAATATATTTTGTGCTGATAATATTCTTTGGTTCTCCATTCATTTTTAGCTGACACGTCCGAGATAGAAGAATCATGGAGAACCGATTACTACAGCTGGAAGTATAACGACCTACCTGAGTGGCAGAAGGCATTCGATGATTACAAACAAAGCAAAGTATGCGCTTAAAAAAATACACAAAAATTTTATTTTGTAGACCTAATTTTGTAAATTTATTTTAAGACTTATTAAAATACTGTAGTAAGGGAAATGTAGCCATTAAAACTTTTTAGTTGAGTTTATTCAACATGATTTTTAGTTGTTTTTAAATAATAGGCGTGCCCAACGGTTCACCAACCCTATTGTCTAATGCAGATAAGCATACATTATCAAAGTTTCAATATGTCAAATATAGATTAAGAATATTAGAGCTAATTAGAGTAGTGGTTAAGCCGAATGCTTTTAAAATGGCAATAAGCAAGCAAATTATGGTGATTTTATATTATAAAAAATATACACAGTAGACCTAACACGGTATTCACGCAGCTGCGACCTTTAAGCTTATCTTGCTTAAACATATCAGTGTGAGCGTTTTTGTTGAAGGACTATGCTTGATACGATTATAACATCGTGTTCCTGTTCCTGTTATTATATATATA